CGAAGATGACGAGTAAGAATAATTCGTAGATTCCAGACGGCAGGCAGATTGGACGATATCACCAACATCGCATGGATCTCCCTTCTTATACAAGAACACAGTCTTGCTAATTCTCCACGAAACGGGTACTTTGCATTCTGGCAGGTACTGCGTGAAAAACCAGGTCAGGGTTCTGACAATGACTGGTGGAAGACTTCAAATGTTCTGATTTGATCCTATCGGGACTGGCGCCGTACAATTCTTCTCGACGAGATGGCATGTCGTATTTCGGAATGGAGAACCAAATAGCGATATGGTCATCTTGCCAGGCGACAAAGGGAAGTCCTCTTAGTCTTGTAATTGGCAAAACTTCGTCGGCTTTGCAGATGCTCCTTCCAGCTTCGGCGGCTTGATTCGAAACTGTTGTTCTTCTCTATTACAGATCTTCCTTTATCGCTTCATCGCATAGCCATAGTCGGGAGTCAGCTGCTTATTGCCTGCAGCTCGCGCGATTCCACACTGGCGTGTCAGCTCAAGGGACTTAAAGGGGAAACGTTTCTTGACATTTTTGGGGCCTCTCTTGTTTCCTGGTGCTATCGTGAAGATGTTCGGCAAGCCGATCGCACTCTTCAACGATGTTGTCGACAAAGAAATCTTTCCATTCACTCGCAAAGAGAGCGAAGTGATACTATTTGACAACAGTCTTGGGCCTTTCCGGAACATCGCAGCTCTCTCTCTCCAAGCACTAAAAAGACGAATCTGAACGGGAGGGGACGATGTGCTGATACCGTGTATAACATCGGAATAGGAGCGACGTCAGTCAGACTGAAATTTTGATTGACGACGATGAGATCTACTTCATTATGGAACTGTTCACCGGGTGACTCCAATGTTCTGATGACTCCCATAGTATAATAAACTCGGGCAGCTTTTCATCCTGCCCTTTGCATTCCGTGAATCCCGATGTGAGGCTCTTCAGGCTTCTTCTAGGACGAATCCCGATGTTGAATATGGTCTTCTCTGTGGAGCCTCTTCAGATCCATATAAAACGTTTCCAGCTCCCCTTCTTCGAAGCTTGATGTTGGTGCGTAGACAACGAAGAATGTTAGAGCTGGACCTGAGCCACATCTTCTTATTCGCAATTGTCCGATCCGGGTGGTCAAACTTTCGTACGATTCGATGTGTATGGCTAAATGCCAGGGGCACCAACATCAACGATATCCCTGGTGTCGCATGTTCTACGTAACAGTTCTCTTCCAATTTCAAAACTGGTATCCAACGGGAGGTGTACTCTCGCCTCGATCGATCCAATGGTCCGAAGACGTCGTTCTTGACCTTCCTGGATTGCATCGTCAGATCTCCGATACCCGCTTTCGATGCGAGTGTTCGTGCACTGGCTCAAGTCCAGCTCTAACATTCTTCGTTGTCTAACAAGAGCTTGCCAGCTTAGCTCTCCTTTTGAGCAACCTGCTTTGGCCCTGTGATGCCAGCAGCTTCTCTCGAGCGGTTCTACACAACGCTGCCGTATTGGCAGCTCCCTCGAGATCAAGGATATTAGGTCCAGTTTGTTACTATTTCTGGCACTTGAATATCCACGAGTAGCTTACCAGGCTCTAACAGTGGGGCCCACTCTTAGCCATGTAGACATGCAGACGTACCGTTGAAATCACACATACTTTACATAAATATCATTGAAAGGATCATGAAAATTCCAATGCAAAGTTCCATCGAGCAGTAAAAAAACATTGACGAAAGCTTTTGGAGCGTACAAGCCGACGTCTGGTGGTAAAGAAGAAATAATGTGAAAGAGACCAGTTTGCCTCTCTTTTCATACGCAAATATTTTCGTCCTCGCCTTCACTCCAGTACGCATTTGAAATATGGATAACCATTTGTAGCTTGCCAGGCTCTGAGCGGATATATACATATGTACCGGATGTCCTAAAGTTATGGGCGCCAAAAATCAGAAATTATAAAGTAGAAGTAAAGCACAAGTATGTTTCCTTGCAATATGCATAGTCGCAGAAGTGGTGCTTTCAGTACCTTATAGATGGCGGGAGCTCTTCGTTGGACTTGCAATCACTGACGTGTTAGAGGCGAAAGGGCATTATGAAAATCCTTGTGACTCCTACGATATCCGTAGAGAAGGCTACTGAACGATAAGGAGGAGAAAATTCAATCAAAAACAAGCCAGGACGGGGTAGATAGGCTAGTGTTGCTAAAGATAAGACTACTGAAATGATACGCTTGCGAGTCAACCGCGATTCTAGGTGATCCATCATTCTAGGTGAAAGACAGCGGAGCAGGACTTTTCGTTGTTGACGGTGGGGCGGATTGTAAAGCATGAGCTCCACTGCCTTTCCTGTTTTATGCGAAAATGCCGTTTTATTTCTGATCTCATAAGACCAGGTCCAAAAAATGCAAAAAGTTGCTGACTCACTTGAGATGAGACGTGCATCCCTTCATCGTTCTCTCTAATTAAACCAGCAAATACGATCACGTCGGGCTATGAACATTGAATGTGCAATCTTTCGCAAAAACATTGCTAATAGCAAAACAATGTTTCTTCGGGGGGAGTCGCTGACTGCTAGGACGGCCGTAATTTCTTCGGTACGAGCGTGGAAGCCTTCTCCGCTTTCTGAAACAGCTCTTAGTCCTCTCAGCAGAACAGTACTTCAGCGCACAGATGCAAGCTCGCCAGCTAGTGGTGCCGACGCCTGCCGTCGGACTCCACTATTACAGAGTAAAGGCCATCCTGCTTCACAGATCTTAACTCACCTGACGTCACTGATCAGAAGAAGAGCTGTCGAATGAATAGTCGCAGTATATATATATATATATATATATATATATATATATATATATATATATAT